ATTTGAAACTTACAAGTGGTTATTGGAAACATTCATGGCATTCATGAAAGATAAGAAGCCAATATCAATATTGACGAATGGCATTGAGGCAATGCGTAAAGCTATTGATGATGTGTTTCCCATGTCTAACCATCGGTTGTGCTCATGGCATGTGTCAAGGAATGCATAGAATAACTTGAAGGATGATGAACTGCTAAGAGATTTTCAGGGATGTATTTGGGAACCATTTGCATTGGACGAGTTTGATAAGAAATAGGACGTTTTGAGAGAAAGAGCCAGTACTCCGAAACAAAAAAAATGGTTTGAAATGATGTATGCAAAAAGAGACTCATGGGCTGAATCATGTCTTAGAGGAAAGTTTTTCGGTGGTAAGTGCACCATTCAACGCGTGGAGTCCATGAACAAGTATGTGAAAGATTACTTGAGGAAAGACATAAAGTTATTTGAATGCATTCCAGCAATTGATAGGGCTATGTTACGTCTTAGGAATACCACGACGAAAGATGGTTTCAACGCAAAGTACTCAACACCAGTCCTTAAAACCGCATTGACAAAACTCGAGCAACAAGCTTCTCTGATTTACACACATAGGTGCTTCATATTGGTACATCATGAGATCGAATCTTGTTCAGCACTCACCCATGATAAGGTGATGTATAATTTTGGAGGTCGTGTATACTTATTGTCAAAATATGGTGAACCGCATGGTAATTGGACTTGTGTTTACCACGGTGGGGAAAATATGCGGATAGAGTGTGGATGCCAGAAATATGAAAGTGAAAGGATCCCATGTTGCCACCTGTTTTATGTAATGAAGTGCGAGCACCTTACGTAAATTCATCCATCACTCATAATGAAGAGATGGACAAAGAGTGCCCAAAGTGATACATGTAGCAAATTTTTCGGCAAAGATGGAGACACTACCAACGAAGTTGTAGAAATGGCGAGGTATGGAAGTTTAAGTGTTATGTCAAACAATGTTTGTTTTTCAAAGAGTGCAGATGTTTATGCCATGTTGACGAATCGGTTTAGTAGATGGGAGGGAATATGTGAAGACTTACGGCAACTTACGGCAAAAGGAAGAAGACACAAGTCTGAAATTGGGTAGTGCTTGGCAATGTCCTCCAAATATTAGCAAAGATCCAAAGATCGTTAGGACAAAAGGCACTTAAGCAAGCCAGGGTGGAATGCGCAAGCGTTGACAATGTCATTTGTGTCGCGGACATGGACATACAAAGTATAATTGCTCTCAAAGAAACTTGCATCGAAGTAGAAATGCAGCTGTGAATATCCCTTCAGGTAGTGAAAGCTATCAATATAGTAACCAGAATGGGCCTTCCCCAGACATTAGCTACAGTTATGCTAGTGAAACGGGTTCTCAACACAGAGGCAACTATGTGGTTGATTTGTCTGATTTTGATAGTTTTTCTACTAGAAACCCAACCGGTTCTACCCCCAACAGTGATGATGGTTTCTCATTCGACAATGGTGAACCTATTTCCCTATCTACTGGTTCAACCCAAAACAATTGTACTTTTGGAACTTGGTCTATATGTAACAATTAACATTAAATGTACATTTAGTGATGGAAAAGATGCTTTCATATGATTGATATATTATTGTGTTATGTATGTATGAAAAGGTTTTATGACTTCTATGGGGTGCTTAGATGGAAATTTTACGTAGGCAGCGGTCATCCAATATACATAGCATCAGAAAGGGTAAGGGGCAATTATTTGAACATATTAGAATCGGTAAGGACAATTATCTGAAAATACTTAGTATTAGAAAATTGTTATGTAGTGCGAACAACATTCCCAAAATATACCCAATTTCGTAACCATAATTGGTTAATCTTACTTTTCAATCATATCCATAGGCTCATAATGAAGTGGTTGCTTGTTTATTTTCTTTGCTATACATTCATTAGCTTCGCATTTACGGTCTTAACAGTTTTGCCCACAAGCGATTAGCATTTGCATAACATGCAATTGCATGACAGTGATGCAATGCAAGAGTGATTGTACGCAAACAAAATTAAGAAAAATGGATCATATTTTATTATACAGGCATAATTAGACATATTTTTACTATAAATCAAAGGGCCCAATTATTTGAAATACAGAGCATGAGAAATAGTACGGGGCAATAATCCGAACATATTATATTACAAAACGACCAATTATACAAAATTACCTAGTAATAGAAATTGTCATGTGGTGCGAATCACATTCCAAAATTTCCCCCAATTTCGGAAACCAAAATGTGGTTAACCCTAATATTTAATAGTAGACATAGGGTCATAATAAAGTAGTTACTTGCTTTTCTTTGTCTTCGCTCTATACATTCAATAGGTTTGCATTTTTAAGCTATGTGGAGTTTGCCCACAGGTGGTTAGCATTTGCATTGCAAACATGCAATTGCATGATAGTGATGCAATGTAAGAGTGACTGTGCGCAAATGAAAATAAGAAGAAGGGTCAATTATCTGAAATACAGAGCATGAGAAATGGTACGGGGCAATAATCCGAACATATTATATTACAAAACGACCAATTATACGAAATTACCTAGTAATAGAAATTGTCATGTAGTGCTGTTGGGGTCTTTTTCGTTCGAAGGCTCGTCCAGGCTTGTTGATTCTTGGATCGCCACAGAGTGATGAATGAAGCCTTTGTTGCCCCTTTGTCTGAGTTAGTGAGAACTAGGCTCAAAGCATCCCGAGGGAGAAGCAAGTCCTAGGGGAGTACTCTGTTCTTCTTCCAACGGCTGCATATATTGTATTGATTTTTTCGGCAGCTTGACAAAGAGTTGAAGATGGCGCATTAATGTTACACAGACTTAGCATGAGAGTTTGCTTTGTGAATTGAGACACTACTAGACTAGGCATGAGAGGTTAGGTGTTTCAGATACGGGATAGAGCCTTTTTTTTAGAGAGAGAGAGAGAGAGAGAGAGAGAGAGAGAGAGAGAGAGAGAGATAAGAGATGGGTGACTTGAGTAGATTTCCAGCAGCTGGACAAAAGCTTTGTCAGGCTCTTGGGTGGCTTGCCAAAAGAGAAAAAAAGGAAGAAATGGAATAATAGAGCTTGAGTGGTGATGTTTGCTCTCTCTGGATATGTTTATGGAAGGGAGATGAAGAATATGGAAGAACACGGCTTGAGATTGAAGCTTCCAGCAATGAGTAAGGATGTTGCTTGCTCTGGCTAAGTTGAAGATAACTTGTTGATGTTGATATGAGATTATACGAGCTTGGCATGAGAGCTTGGAGTGTGGGAGCTAAAAACCCACAAGTTTAGCAAATGAGAATGTTTGTGCTTGGGTTGGTGTTTGATATACTTGAGTTTGGGTGTTGGGAATTTATTGTTTGAGGCTATGGCTATGGCGGTTTGATTGTTTGGTTGTGATGGTTGTTGGGATGCTTATAGCAGTCAAATGAATGGGGTTTCAAAGAGCATGGCTGAGGAAAGAAAGCTTAAGACTTTGAAAGGTATGGTGTTTGTGACAATGATTCTAGAGAAATGTATGAGTTCTAGAGGTGGGAGGATAAAAGGAAAAGCTTGAAGCTTGAAAACTATGGTGTTTATAACTTGGAAGGAAGGAAAAGCTTGGAGTTATGCTTGGTGAGGCTTTATGGAGAAGATGATGGATTTCAAGGGTGAGAAAGTAGAAGACATGATTGTGATGGCTGAGGAATGGCTGGGATAGTTGCTGGAATGCTTGCAACAACTAAATGGAGGAAGGAAAGTAGTCTGGTGGTTGCTAAAGGGGGTTGATGGCTGCTGGGATGCTTGCAGTAGCCGAGTGAGGGAGTGTTGGCTGAAGAAAAATTGGTCCCCTTTTTCTTGAGCCATGAATGCCAATTTATAGAGGGTGAGGGTTTTCCTTTATTTCCAATAGGTAAAGGAATGTGTTGTTACCAACATATTTTCAGTGGTTAAAAGGGAGCACTGGGGCATACTATTTTTCAGCATGTAAAGCTAGGTACCATAAACTGATTATTTCCTATGGGTAAAAGGAAGCACTTGTTTCCAGTGGGTAATAGGAAGTGCTGGAAAAGGCTTGTTTCCATTGGGTAAAATAGGTATTTAGAAAAATGACTATTTCCTATGGGTCAAAGGAAGTGCTTGAAAAATATCTCATTTGCTCACCTAAATTGGAGAACTCTAAGTAATGGGCTTGGACTTTGGTACTCCCAAGTAGCTAGCCCAAAGTCTCCATTATCTAAGAGCTTCCGTAGGCCTTGTGGACCTCCGTAACCTTTCACACCACAATCCCTCATGCAAGCCCCGTAAAACACATGCTTGGGTTCATGTGAGCTTGATAGGTGATCGGCATGGGAAAAATGTATTATTAGTTTGGCATGGCATGTATGCTATTTCTATATTTATTTAATGATTAAATCCCAAAATTAAATCCCAAAATACAGCTTGAATTAATGAATGACCGACATTATATGTTATTTTGGGCTTTAAATGTCTTTGGGCTTCCTGTGACTTTTTTGGGCCTCAACAAGTGCGAATCACATTCCAAAATACCCCAATTTCGTAAACCAAAATGTGGTTAACCCTAATATTTAATAATAGACATAGCGTCATAATAAAGTAGTTACTTGCTTTTCTTTGTCTTCACGCTATACATTCATTAGGTTTGCATTTTTAAGCTATGTGGAGTTTGCCCACAGGCAGTCAGCATTTGTATTGCAAACATGCAATTGCATGACGGTAATGCAATGCAAGAGTGACTGTGCGCAAACAAAAAATGGATCATATTTTATTGTACAAGCATAATTAGACATATTTTTTTCTATACATCGAAGGGCGCTATTATCCGAAATACAGAGCATGAGAAACGGTAAGGGGTAATAATCCGAACATATACGGAGCCATGATCCAAAATTACTTAGTATTACAAACTGTGATGTAGTGTGAAAAACATTCCAAAATATCCCCAATTTCGTAAACCATAATTTGGTTAACCTTATTTTTAATCATATCCATAATTTAATTGGTTTTCTTTCTCTTTGGGGTACATGAATGAACACTTTTATCACCTTTGCGTTTTTGGTTTGTGGAGTGTTGTTCTGCATCCGCATTACCCTTAGCTGCGGCCTCGTCCTCATCCTCATCCTCATCTTCATCCTCTTCCTCATCCTCATCCCCAACCTCATCCTCTTGGATCCAAGCTTCGTCGTCATCTTCCTCTTGTTCTTCCTCTTGTTCTTCCTGTTCTTCTTCATATTCTTCTTCATGTTCTTCTTCCTGCTCTCCTTCCTCTTCTTCTTCCTCATCTTCTTCCTCATCTTCTTCATGCTCTTGTGGTACCACAATTTTGGTATTTCCTTTTCTAACTATGTCATGTTTAAATTTTGAGCGAAACTCCTACATATAGTGAAACATTGACATATATAAATAATCAATCTTGTTCAATTTTGTTTTGCACATGGGTGAGATGATGGTTTGCATTGCAAAATTTAACATATTATAAAACAAATTGCAAAATTGAACATCTTATAAATCGAATGGGACAATGGAGGTAACAAACTTACATGTACTGCATCATCATCTAAAACGTCTTGACCAATATCTTCACTTTCAATGGTTGTCCCCTTGGTGTTCTTCAATATCTCCAATTACAATATAACATCGTTCATGTTCATTCTTGGTCTCTTATTTCAATATAACATCGGTGATGTTCTTTAATTTTATGAAATCACTATGAAATGAAGCTGAACTGACTCACAATCTCTTGCCGTAGGCGCCTGATCTCTATGCTTGCTTCCAATGAAGTTGAAAATAGTAGGGCATTCAACCCAACATTCAGCTCCAAAATCTCGGTTGCAACTTGAGTAGTTACCTACATTCAGGCACATGCAATTACAACAATCACCACTGGAAGCCATCAATTAGGAAAAAATTATGCAATGGAAACTACTTACATGCGTTACACCATTAGGTAATGGTAGACCAGCGCTATCTTGTCCACGGGGTATACACACTAGTTGACTTCCATTATTTAAGGCCCAACTTGGTATTTGCACTGAGTATGCCTGAGGAGAGATGTTTCCAACCCTTATATTTGCACCTTCGGGAGTTGTATGTTGTCCTTCCTGTGGAATTGAGGTATCATGTTAGTTTTTAGAAAAGAAAAAAAATAAATTTAATGTAGGAAGTGTAAGTACATAACACGTGTTCAGTGTAGAACCTACCACTTCACGTAATTCGTCATAATGCCGGTACCTTATGTACTCATCTCTGTACTTGCCATAGTCGAATGAATGTGCAAGCCATTCCAAAGCTGGGTACCAATTAAGTGCTTCCTCGACTTCTGACTCATCAGTGAGCTTATAATCGGAAAGCATTGTCCTCGGTGTAATTTTTGGTACTCGAGGTTCTGTGCTACCTAAGCTTTGCATAGCGACTCGCTCTCCCAAATACCAGGTACAACCAGCTTGTCCCTCGAGTAGGATTCTGATATAACCATTATTTTGTACATTTTTATTATCTTTATCTTAGATTCTTGCTATGTTCTTGAGTGAGTTTAGTCCATTTTTACTTAGTTTTGTATTTTACTAGGTTTGAAGAGTAAAGATGGAAAAGCAAGCAAAAGGAGCAATTTTGGGATTGAAATATAATGTGCTGTACAGAACAGTCAACTTGACATAATATACTGTACTTCCTCAGAGCGAACCAGATGTTGAGCCTTATATCGTTGGAAAGATACGGATGTTAGCTTTCTGTAGAATTTTACAGTTCGTGATTTGGACTTGTGTGGAGAGAGTTGTGGCCGTTTTAGTACAGACAGTTCGGGCAGAATGTGTTCTGCGGGTTTTGCAAAAAAATCCCTTTGAAGTCCAATCCTTGGAGTTTAATTTGTGTCATTTACATTTGGGAAGTGTCTACAAGGAAGTTGAATTATTTTCTGAAGTCTGATCCTATATTTAGTAGGATTTTGGATGCCAACTCATCAAAGACAATTGAAGCCAAACTAGGAAAACATAGTTACCAAGTCAAAAGAGGATTTGTTCCTTAGTTAAAGAAGACTAGAAAATAGGGTTCTTTTATGTTGGAATTTGAAGGAGAGTCAAAGAGTCACTGCCATCGTCAAGTTCTCAAGCATCATCACAATCCATAAGTTTTATTTTATGTTATTTAGTTTTTCAATTATGTTTTCTTTGAACATGAGTAACTAAATTATTCTCTAGGGCGAGGATGACGCCCGAGCATGGATAGTTATGATTTTAGGGCTTTGAACATGAGTAACTAAATTCTATTTCAATTGTTGCTATTTGTTTAAGTTCTTTGATTGATCACTTTAGGGCTTGCATCTAGTAAATTGGAAGATGAATTTGAGGCAGAACTCGCAATATAATTCAATTAGCTTCTTGTGATTAAGTGTGGTGAATTACATTATTGCTTGATGAAGAATAATGATTTGATTGGTTCCCTTGTTTTCTAGAACGTAATGAATTCAACTTGTTAAATTTATGCCTTAACCAGGATAGATTGCAGGATTGGGTATATGATCTTTGTCTGAACTAGAAAGAATCGTACACTTAAAGTGCCTGAAAAGGACTTAGATACGGGAATTATCATCTAAAGAATCGAAGGAATCTGTTGAATGCATTGAAATCTAACTTGGATTGCTTGTGGTTGATTCCGAAACCCTAGACCTTCATCATCCTTTTTCAATCTTTAAAAGTCAACGTTTTAATTCTTAATTGCCTTGATTAATTTCTTGTTTGTTTCATAAACCTTCACAACAACAATCTCTACAAATTTACTTGCGTGTCAGTTAGATTTAATTTAGGTATTCGAGTATTAGATTAATTTGGAATCCTCATGGGAACGATACTTGGACTTGTCAAACGCTATACTACATCAATCTTGTGCACTTGCAAGGACAGACCAGATTCATTTACGAATTACATGCATGGTATTTTTGACTTCTTTCGGCATCTCAGATTCATCGGTCCCCTATGGGTTCCAATTTACCTGCAATACAAATTGGTTACCTTTGCGTATGATACATTTTTTTGGGTAATAAAATCTCGATTCAAGAGTAAATGCTTCATAAATAATTTATTAGATGTCGCATCATGACTCTAAAACTTACCAACTGATGGTGCAAGTCTCACTTTGCTTTTGCACCTAACCACCTTAATGCTCGGGGCCACGTGTTCAAGGTCCAACTGGGCATTGCTAAAGCAAAAGGCTCTAGGTACTCGCAGGCCCATACCTATACAAAACACTATACAAATTAGCAATTTAAGCAAAAAAGTCTGCTGCACTTTGGGGACATCCAATTCGATTACACTAACCTCCCATGCCCTCCAATACCCGCCCATGCTTGAGGACCTACCCCTGGAACAAGAATCCATTGATCTATACAAGCAAGCCAAAGCTACACCGCCCCAATCATAATTACCAATGTATGAGACTTTCTAGACTTCGGGCGTAGTGCATACGCACGTATTAGCTCTTATCATTTAAGAATGAGGAGCCAATCAAGCACAGTATAAATGCCCTTGCAATTTGGTCGGCTTCTTTATCATCTTTGGGAATCTTCTTCCAGTACGAGGTAGGAAGGCTTTCATACGACACTCTCCTTTCGCCCATTAGTAGGTCTGCAATTGTTTTCCCATACAATTTAACCAGCTTGTTCTTATTTTTGTAAATCTACAAGTCGTACCTTAGTCGCTTCCCACCAACACGCAATCCTGTGATTGCTGCGAAGTTCATGGATGTCATTGTCATCTCTCCAACTTCATCGAAGTGGAATGTGTGGGTAGTGTCCCACCATCTCTCAGCTAAGGCCACAAGTGGCCTATCCCTTTTCTTTCCATGCCTCAATATTGACACAAAGGGAAAAAAGCCAACTTCTTTGACCTTCGCTTTCAGTGTGTCTTGCATTGCTGTGTTATACCATGTAGCACACTTGGCATTGTTTCCACACCCTCTTATTTGTTTTAAAGTAAGCTGCAGAAAACAAAAAACATCATTCATCTCAATTAGATTGTGACCCACTTATTTACAATTTATTCCAAAGTGAGGAATGCGAATTGAAAAATAAAATAAGAATACCTTGAACGAGATATGTTCCTCCAATTCTACGTGAAGCAAGGGTGAACAAGGATTTCGGTCCTTCGTTATGAACACACGTACACCAAACACCCCACTACCCGTAGGACCCGAGAATTGTTTTGCTGGCGTCCATTTTTTTGAGCTTGAGGTAGCCACTGAAGACTTACTTTTCGTAGGCTTTACACGTGTGATCTTCGGCTGACGAGAACCTTCATCAGATGCTTCAACCTCAATGGACTTGTTCTTGGTCTTCATTATGGCTTGGAATATCCTTCAACCTTAATACAGTAATAATAACTTTGATAAACATGTTCATACTAGAAATTAGTTTATCATTGAAACAATTGGTACATAATTTTTTTTGGGCAAGTAGAGCATACTTTGTTAATGAATGTATATTGGCATTATGCATGAATTAGAAATATTAGATAAATATGTCACATGATATATGTTGTTAATATGTTAACTTGCAATTGTACGGGCCAATTAGTAATATAGCAAGACAAGTACGAGGTCGTACCCACGAGGACTGAGAAGTTAAAATTAGTTATGTACTTAGATTACCAAATTCAAGAAAGTAGGAGGTTAAGTCTAAAATAGAATTTAAAGCAAGAGTGATTGTAATTGTTGAACAAATGAGGAAAAACGAAATTTCAAACAAAAGCAAAGTGAGCAAATGTAACAAAGAGTGTTTTTGTGGGCTGGAAAACAGATTGGGAGACTAGGGCATTCGATTCACCATAACAATTCAATTCTAAGTTATAAGGAGTCAAGTGACAAGTCTAATTCAGATTCAAAGATTGATTCTAGCTAAAGTATGATTAGGCCATGGTGTCTGGTCCTAACCTTGTGTTCCTAATTCCCTAACTTGATCATTTGTTGTCTAACCTAAATTAAGCATTAGGAACTCATTAAGCATAGAAGAACAATTTAAACAACCAAGCATGTATCTGATCCCTGTTGTCGAATGTCCATACATACTTTTCTTATTCATAGTTCAATTCGAATCAAAGCATGGTGTCTACTCTTGATTCAAACCAAGATAGCTAATATACAAGTTCTAATGGTGATCAATCATCCAAACAAGCATATTAACTGATAAGCATAATGAATAAGAACATGAATCATGAATCAAACTTGAAACTCAAAACTTCAACTTATAAACCCAGAATATTCATGTTAGGTTACATCGAAGTCCTAGTTATGAATTTAGCTACTCATAATGGAAATGAAACTTAAACAGAAATGAGAAAACATAATGAATGTAATAAGAGTGGAAAAACCCATTTCTGAAGTTACTTGTGGTGTCCAAGGCTTCTCCAAGTGCTTCTCCACACCTAATGCTGCTCCAAGAGCTTCCTCACATCTAGAGTATGGCAACTAAAAAGGTGATTTGGGATGAGTTTGGGTGAGTGGTGATGGCAGAGAAAGAGGAAATTCGTAGGGAAATGGAAGGAAGGCTTGTTGGAGCTGTTTTGGTGATTTGGGGCTGAGTGGAGTGTTTGGGGAAGGATGGGAGTGTTAGAGGATGGCTGAAGTGAATTTTAGGCTGAATGGAGTGACTCCTTCTTTGAATGAGTGTGCATCACTCTATTTATAGAGTGCAAATTCGTGCTCCCCCTTTGGCTGGTGAAGCACACCCATTCCTAGCTATTCCCATTTGTCTGAGCTGCCCATTAGGTTCCCATGCTGCTGATTTGATGTGTACCCATGCCTCTAGGAATGTCAGCTGCCCATGCCTCTTGGAATGTCAGCTGCCCATGCCTTCTGAGTTTCCATGCTGTCTTGTCAGCACATGGCTCAACAGCTAGCTGTTGCATTCCTGAGCATGGTGTGCATTTTGATGGGCTCACGGATTGGGTTGACTTAATCAATTGATACATTTGAGTAGTCCATCTTGCAGTTCAGACTCTCATCTTTCCAGGCACATATTATATGGGCCAATCAAAGTTGGGAGAAAGACGTTAAGGCCGAAATGAGTTGCCAACCCAGTCTGCTCGTTTTTGCACCATTTTGCATCTTTTCTTATCCAAAGGCACCATTGCTACCTAAGGCTCAATGAACTGAATGATAAACAGAAAAGGGATTAAAAGCACACGTTTGACTCAATAACATAACCAAATCATAAGTTAGAAGGGTACAAAATGATATGCAATTGTGAACTGATCAATATATCATGTCATTATTCAATAATTTTTTTTTTCCTTTTCAGAGACAAAGCTATATCTAACACTGCATGCTTTGTTTCATTGACCGACAATATTTCATTACCTATCCAAAGAATCAAATATTTTCATTGGAGATTAAATGTGACAAGTCTAAAACCACAGCCCACCATTTCAAACTTTGAAACAGAGAGATCCCATTTCAAGCTGTTTACCCAATAAATAAGCAGTGTAGTCATTTCATTAATTAATACAGCAAGAAGAAATTGTCCAAGACTCAGAAAAAAGCAGAAGTAGAACAAAATAGTCAAAGCAGCACTAAATCTAAATGACCTACGTCCATTTGTAGCCCATCAATCCAAAACTGCCAAACAAAACACATAGAGTCATCTTCCTCACGGAAGTGATCCACAAGAACAAATTCCTAATCCAAAGAACTAAAGAAATGGTTAAAGCCACTTTTTACTTTGCCTAACTTGATTTGAAACTTATTAATTAAAGGTGCTAATGTAGAATATTAGGTTAAGATTATGCTTTCATACTTTAGTATTCAAGTAGTTCACATTCACAGAAACCCTTTGAGCCTTGGACCTAAACAAAAACGCACGGGAAGGAAGAAGGCTAGGATTTTGTAGCTAACGACGTTTGATTATTCACACACCCCTGAAGGAACAAATTATAGCCAGTAAAAATGAATGTCCAAGGCCAACGGCAAGACCCTCGAATTGTTGGTTTAGCATCCCAAATTCTATCTACACAATATCAAAGAGGAACCCTAAACCCTCATACAAATCAATTTGTTACAAACCCAACACCCTTAAGATTTTTCCTCATGTAAATCCTCATATGCACATTTAGAAACATAACTGAATGAATAAGATTGAAGTTCTTACCTTTGACGTGGACTTTGAGACCCGAAGGACAAGGTGTCAGCCGTGAGAATGGCAGTCGACAGAGACAACGAGAGAGAGAGAGAGAGAGAGAGAGAGAGAGAGAGCGAGAACTGCGAGTGAAGAAGGAGGAGATAGGTGAATTCAGCGAGCGAGAAGGAGGGAGAGAGCGAAACGACAAGTTGAATTCAGTCAGAGACAGAGACAGTGCGTGAAAGTGAGAAACTGAAATAGTTCCAATTTCAGATTTTGAAAATTTTCGGGTTCTTCACGGTATTTTTGTTTATAGCTATTCGACCCACACAAAAAAAAAATTATAAATAAAAAAAAACTCATTAACAACTATGACAGAGTAAACCAACCCTCTTGTAGAAATCGTCACCAATTTCATTCCCATATGGTCTTAATCTTATGATTTGATAATATTTAATTTGCATATCGTAATCAAGAACTAAACAAGATAGCGATGAACTACACTTAATCCAAGTATTCCCTAAAAAATATAGTCTAAAAAAATTATTTATTATTCCAAAAAAACCATAAAACAAAATAATAATAAACATTCTTTTAAAGTTTCAAACATAGCACCTCTTTTCCGAAACCGCCCATTCCAAAATGCTTGTGACTCCATAGCCATAAGTAACAGTATACTTGTACGAACGGAAGTTGGAGATTCTTGGTTGCATACATAAGAGCAAATCCCTTATAAATAATTAACATAATCACTCCTTCAAATAGGATGATTCTCTCTTGAATCTCTTCTAACTCACTGAAATTGATACCCAGGAAACAAATGTGATATCAATACTTTTTCTTGTTTTTGGCAGTAAATGTTGCGATCAAAGTATGCAAAAATTAAAGAAAAACGCATTGCAATATTTAACTTGAATGAATTTGTTACCTGAATTTTGGGTTTTGTTTGGAGTTTAGCAGCTTGAGGTGCGATTTTCTTTCTAGTTTTATGGCCAAACAGATCACCAAAGAGCTAGAGAGTTCTAAGTTGATGATGAAAACTTATCAATGTTGTGAATATGGCTTTCTGTTTTATAGAGAGAGTGTGTGACTTTATTTTATTTTATTACTTTTTCCCTCTTTTAATTCTTCAGCTAGTAATTAGGGAATCACATGCTGCACATGCATCTCTGCAAACTGCCATAAAAGGAGACAAGACTATTTTCACTTTTTTATTTTTATAAATTTTTTTTATTTTTTGTAAACTACAAAACTCAATAGTGATTAGGGAATCACATGCTGCATCTCTGCGCATAAAAAAAAACAACATGCTGCATCTCTGCATCTCTGCACGCCTAGTTGCCCAGCGGCAGCTGCATGCCATCTCTTCTTTTCAGCTTTTGCCTGACAGCTTAATTTCAATATCTCTTAGAGCATCTCCAACCGATGTGTCAAACGTGCCATATAGACATTTAACAGCTATAAATAACATCTCATATCACTCCAACCGATGTGTCAAAGCTTATGTGCAATGAAGACTGGAGGTTGAGATGTTATTTTTGACATCCCAAAAATAAGATGTCAAGGATTATTTAATTTTTTTTTCTTTTCTTTTTAACTAAAATGAATCAACAATAAAATGTAATAAAATAATAATTTAATTTGACATATTGGGTGGAGTGTAAAGCTGTGTAAGATGTTAAATTACAACATCAACCATCAAATTTAAATTTGATGTATGGTATTTGATATCTCCCTTGGATATGCTCTTAGAGATTTAGATTCTTTGCTTTATTTTTCTTTATTTGAATGTGCTTGATGACGTTTATCCAACAAGTGTGGTACCTTATTAAGTGAAGTAGTTAATCTTCATCAAACAGGTCTCTTTTCTTATTTGACAGGTAAGCCTTGGATTTTTGTGGTTCAACTTTTAGGAAAAATTCTACCATGGGCGTGGTGTATACATGCTCCCAAATTATCAACCATTAGATGAGTAAGTGGAGATGTGGGTTAAATCCACACCATCGAATGCTGGTAACTGGTTAAAAGGGTTGCTGTAGGTAAAAGTGAATAAAATAAAAATTAAACAAAAAAGAAAAGAAAAATAGAACAATACAAGGGAGAAGGGCAAATAAGATGTTGAACTGCTGAGGCAATCCCACCAACTCTCTCTTTCATCTCCCCCTCTATTCCCCTACTTGTGAATCACTTGATTTTGTGGATGAAATTGAGAAGATCTTAAATCTCTTGCTCCTTCTCTATCTCTGTCCATCTCTCTCTTCGTCCCCCTCTCTCTCTGTCTACCTCTCTGCTCCTCTCTATCATCAATTCAAACCCTAGAAATTGGGGACTTTTCCAATATCAAAGGTCAGTTTGCTTTTTCTATTCCTTTTATCTTTTGGTTTATGGTTTTTTTTTGGATAGCTAGGTTTTGTTTGTTGGTAATGTGATTTTTTGTTTAAATTTGATAATGGGTTTGTTTTGATTCCCCTGGGCTTGTTTTGTGACGTAGTTGTTCCAGAAACTCAAATTTTATGACTGGCATAGATCTATTATTGTGAATTTGTTATTAATTAGGATAAGTAGTCCCAATAGATGAAAGGTTGAGAAGCTCATATGAGAATTTTTATGGCAAGGCCAAGGAGAGGGAAATAAGTGCAGTTGGTGAAGTGGGAGTTAGTGTCAAAGGATTAGGGGTACTGTCATATTGTAAGTGGTGATTCACACGTTATACGGGTCTTTTTGCTATCCATAAAAGAACTAGAGCTGAAACGATTTAGGAATAAAGTTGGAATGACCATTTAGGATTGAAGTTGCTAGCCATGAGTATTGATTTGTGTATATTGAATCTAGGAAAATATATTTTTGCTGTTAAACTGCATGCAAAATCTGAGATTTTGCTATCGATTTCCCTATCTTCTTTCAACATATGTCATGGTTTGGTTTTTTTTTCTTTTGCAAGATTGACCAATCTTTCAGTCACAGGTTAGAATCCATCCTATCATTCAACTCATTGTGTTACCCTTTTCCTTTATTACATTCATTAGTATTAGCTTGGCAACAAGGTCAGTAGAACCTGTTAACAAATATTTAATAGCCATTATGGAAATATTTAATAGCCATTATAATTTTTCATCCAGTGCTTCTGAGAAATGCCTTCCCCAGTTGTTTATTGCGAACTATGTATAGATACATGGGTCTGTAATTATTTTTGTTGATGAAGAGATTGTGGAAGTAATGACCGAGATTGTGGTTGAAAAAGTGCTTAGTTCAAATTTCAATATGTAGGCATATGTTTTAAATTTTGGAAGGGAGCAAGGGATGTGGAGGTGGATCTTCTATAGGATAGGCTTCGTTTTTGGGATTCCCTTTGGCTATTGGTATCTTCATAATTTAAGGATTGTTCCTTTCAAGCTATATTGTATTATTGGAATTCTGCTGTCAACTATAAGTTTTGTTCGTCTAGTGCCATGTATCTTTGTTAAGTTGTTTACTTAGTATAGCTAGACAAGTGGACAACTTGTCCCTTGTATTGTTATGTTCTCTTCTTAATGAAATTATGTTTCTCATTACAAAAAAAAAAGACAATGAAGTGATTGAGAGAGTGAGTTAAAATTGAACAAGAATATATTGATAGATTGGCTCACCTAAGAGGAAAAGGAAATAATGCAATTGATAAACAGTGAGTTGGAAATTAAACAAGAATAATGTAATTGACAAACTGTAAGTTTGAAATTGCAATACCTATCCGTAATCTTGTAATTGACAGCTATGGACAGTTGTGTTCCATAAAATTGTAAAACCCATCTATTTTGGACATCTGTTTTGGATAACTGTGTTTCATAAAATTGTAAAACCCATCCGTAATCTTGTAATTGATAAACAGTTAGTGGGAAATTGAAACTGAATAATGCAATTGACATATAGTAAGTTCAAATTGCAATTGACAAACAGTAAAGTGGAACATTCGGAAGGTAAATTGGGTCCTTATACTTATAAACAGAAACGTTTACAATATTAAGGTCTCGTATTACTCTATGTTAAACAAGAGTGTTCCATAAGAGTATAAAACCCATCCTTAATATTGTAATATTGTAATTTACAAAGATAAAGACATCTAGTACAATATTAAGGTAACTTGGGACATTAGGAAAGTAAATTGGGTCCTTATTCTTGTATAAGAATAGGGTAAGAGTGGACATTGGTGGAATAAATTTGGTCTTTGCCATTGTAAACAAGGGAGTTTACAACATATAGGACTTCCGTTATATTGTTATGGATAGAGGGGTTCCATAAAGTTATAAAAGAGATCCTTAATCTTGTAATATCGTAATTTACAAAGGAAATGACCCCCAATACAATATTAAGGTAAGAATGAACCTTGGAGTAGGAAATTGAGTCATTATCCTTGTAAACAAGGTGGTGGTTACAACATTAAGGATTCGTATTATACTAAAATGGACATAGTCGTTCCATTACATTGTAAAAGCGATCTTAATCTCGTAATACCATAATTTACAACAACAAGGAACCCTTGTATAAGAATAGGGTAAGAATGGACCTTGGTGGAATAAATTTGGTCCTTATTCTTGTAAACACAACGGTTTATAGTATTAAGGACCTCTTTTACAATGTTTTGGACCTCCATGTTCCATAAACTTGTAATATCATAAATTACAATAGAAAGGATCTCTATTACATGGTTAAGGTAATTGTGGACCTTAGAGATGTAAAATTGGTTCTTATTCTTGTAAATGCAATGGTTTAACATTAAGGACTCGTATTACAGTGCTTTGGACGTAAGCTTTCCATAAACTTGTAATGCAGATCCTTAATCTCGTACATTACAAGATTTGGGTTCTCATTTATATTTTTTTGCACCATGATTACAAGTTTGAGGTTCTTCCTTATCCATAGCGTTGTAATATCCTAATTTACAATTGAAAGGATCCCTCTTACAATGATAAGGTAAAGGTAGACTTTGGAGAAGTAAACGTGGTCCTTATTCTTGTAAACACAAGGGTTTACAATATTACGGACCTCTTTTACAATGTTTTGGACCTCCATGTTCCATAAACTTATAAAGTGTATCCATAAACTTGTAATATCATAAATTACAATAGAAAGGATCTCTATTACATGGTTAAGGTCATTGTGGACCTTGTAGATGTAAAATTTGTACTTATTCTTGTAAATGCAATGGTTTATAACATTAAGGACTCATATTACAATGCTTTGGACGTAAGCTCTCCATAAGCTCGTAACGCAGATCCTTAGTCTCGTACATTACAAGATTTGGGTTCTCATTTATGATTTTTTGCACCATGATTACAAGTCTGAGGTTCTTATTTATCCCTAGCGTTGTAATATCCTGATTTACAATTGAAAGGATCCCTTTTACAACAAAAGGTAAGGGTAGACTTTGGAGAAGTAAAGGTGGTCCTTATTCTTATAACCACAAGGGTTTATAATATTAAGGACCTCTTTTACAATGATTTGGACCTCCATGTTCCATAAACTTGAAAAGTGTATTCATAAACTTGTAATATCATAAATTACAATAGAAATGATCTTTATTACATGATTAAGGTAATGGTGTACCTTGGAGATGTAAAATTGATACTTATTCTTGTAAATGCAATGGTTTATAACATTAAGGACTCGTATTATAGTGCTTTGGATGTAAGCTCTCCATAAATTCATAACGCAGATCCTTAATCTTGTACATTACAAGATTTGGGTTCTCATTTATGATTTTTTGCACCACG